ATCATGAACAAGTTTCTTGAGATTTGTTCGTTGAATCGTTCGTGTGTTTCCCTTTTCTGCCTTTCGCGTGCTGCCCTGAATGCATGTTGTAGTTTGTGGTTCAGTCGGGCTTATTCCCCCTTTAATCCCCCAACGTTCTAAAAAACCTTGCAATGAAATGCATGATGGAATTGCGTCTCTCCGGTTCACTCTTCTCTCGTTCTGTGCCCGCATTCTCGCAAAGATCGCTTCCTTTCACTCTCCCTTGTCGGTTTGTTTCATCCTCTTTCTGGTTCTCTTGCCACATGTTCTCTTGAGATCTGGGCATCGGTTACAGGTCTTAAAAGAGGGTTTAGGGTTTAGGGTTTGGGGTTTGGGGTTTGGGGTTTAGGGTTTAGGGTTTAGGAGCTCTTCAGTATCCTTTGATGCCCAAATCGTGTTGTGCACTTTCTCCATCTCACTCTCTTCAAGCGGCTAGCCTTTAGACGTTGTCAGACTGTCTCAGACTGCCTTTTCTTCAAAAGTCCGTGCATATTCTTGAAACATGTGTAGGACCGTGCGGAAACAAAACGCAATCGACCATTTGCAGACATGGTAAAGCAACACGCAGCGCACACAAATGTCTGGGACTTATGCGGGACTTACACTGTGTAACCTGTGTTGGTACATACTGCTATATCTTTACGAATTTTCCAACATTTCATTCACGACTTAAATCGCTTCTTGTACTCTTCAGAACGGTAGTACTCTCCAGTATAATTATGCATTCTTCTGTTCTTTCGCTCAATTAACCAAATGCTGTTACTGTCGTCCTCTTCGTTCTTGGCAAGGATGTAAGCAACAATCACCATTACAATACGATGCAGGTGATTTTTCCGTACTAGTCTTCAGCTTCAAGTCGTACATATCTAACTCTGGTCGTTCTCTATCTGTTTCTTTGTACGTTCAATTCAGTCTAACTCTGGTCGTTCTCTATCTGTTTCTTTGTACGTTCCATTCAGTCTGTCTTGGTGACTTCTATTCTATTCTTTGTTCGTATTTCTCAGGTATCCAGTGCTACATGTTTCACTTCTTACGTCTGTTTATCTGGTGTGAACAAAATGCTTATCATACGTGCCGACGGCGCAACTTCTGATTATGCCTATCTTCATGTATGTCAGCTGTTGTTACACTTGCTCCTGGGCAGCTTTTTGTTTCCTTGTGGAATGACCGACGCTGCTATCTTCAAGGGATGCAACGTGTGGCCTTACCACAAAGGAAAACATGTCTCCTTGTGGCCGTCATGGCGGTTCTCGGGCGCGTCACCCAACTCGAGTTATTCATGCCATTTGTCTTCAATAACTCTGACAAACTATTGCAATATCTACAATATTGAGGAAGGGGTGACTACCCACAGGAAGCGGAGAAGGAAGACTTTGTCGTCTACGCTTAGTAATTTGATACAACAAAATGTAACCTCAGAAAAAGTCTAACTCGTCCTTCTCGCTCGGTATTCTAGGATCTTGACGAGTCGTAGAAGCATTCCCTCGGTGTCTCGTTCGGCGCGGAGTATCTTGTTTTCACCATGTGGGTCTGCTGTGTATTTGGAGGGTTTCACAGTGAATGCTTCCAGGTAAGGTCTGCCTGTGCTGTCCAAGAATGCTGCATGACCTGCTTTATCATCTCTGCGTCCTTCAGTCTGTTAAACAACACATCTGCCGAGCAGGTATAACGCCCGATTTTGGTCTACTATTGTTTTATTCTTTTGCTTACGGCATTCGTTTCCCGACTGGTTCTGGGTCGTGCTCTTTGTCGTGTTCTTTGATTGCCGTCGTCTTTGGCTTCTTATTGCGACTGCGAACTGTCTGATCACAGTATCTGCGGGGTTGCGTTAGGTTTTTGGTGCTTCGGTTTAAACGATAATGGTAATTATCGTAGGGTGTCTGTGATGCGTTCGCTTTACGCGCAATATGGTTGCTCATCGGCAAAATTAGTATATGCTATGTAGCTTATTGCTTTTATCAATACTGTTGGAAAATCTTGCTAAGTCTACAGAAACATATCTAGCTGATAACAGCATGTGGGTTTTTTGGTGTCCTTTTTTAAGAATGCCGCTATATATGGGGTACCCAAAAAGGGACCCAGAGAGAACTACCCGTAGGCTTCGGCAACGTAGCTCAAACAGCCCTTGGTCCTGAGGATGTGACTTGGGATGTTCCCCTTACACTAACAGTCCTTGATCGAGATTTTCGTACCCCCTACTATAATCTCTCATAAGGACTGCTAGTATAAGGGGGAACATCCCAAGATATGACCATGGCTGAGACAAAGAACGGCTGGGCAACGCCTTTAAGTGCGACTTCAGGATGGCAAACGAAAGGAAGACGAAACGATCCCTGGGGGGACCAAATGAACCCTACAGTTGGGGGTCCTGTATCCCATACTGCTAGAATTCCGATTAAGGTATATGAACCCTAAACCCTAAACCCTTAACCCTAAAGTTGGGGTCATGTATCCTATACTACTACAATTCCTATTCAGG